TTGTAACTTACCAAAATCTATTTTATGTAAGTTATGTTTTTAATAAAAGCTATGTTTTATAAAGGTTTCAGTTACGTGGTTTATCTCCTGAATCCTATTTGATTAAAAGGAAACTCATGAATATGTTTGTTTATATTTTAAAGAATATTTGACTATGGCCTTATATACAATTATATTTTAGTAAGTACCACCACGGGAGTCCCACGCCTTGGGGGACTTAAATAACCATTGGCCTCTGTTTGGCTACTTTGTGGCCCTCTGATCCATTGACCTCTGTTCTATGTGGACCAAAATGCTGTGCAGAGCTAAGTGCTACACTGTTGTGGGAGCCACCTCTAGAATCCGTACCTCTGTTCTGTGCAGACCAAAGTACTGTTTGGAGCTAAGTGCTACACTATTGTGTGAGCCACCTCTAGAATCCGTACGAGCCACCTCTTGAATCCGTACCTCTGTTCTGATTGTCACTCCTGTGATCTCTGTTCTGTTCAGTATCGTGGTTATAGTCATTTACTTACATAATTTCTGTATTTCAATTCTGCTACTCAAATGAGCAGTTTCTGCCACTTAAATGATTTGTTTATCAAATTTTGCTACTTAAAGGATTATTTTACCAAACTGAGTTATGTAAATGTTTTGGCCTAATTAACTATCCATGGTTATTTCGTGTCCCTTATACTCTTGGTATAATATTTCTCACTCTGCCATGTGCTTATAGTTGTTTACCAATTTTCAGGAATTAATGCAATTCATAAATAGCCTTTGGAAAGTCTTAGATGCGGGGTTGCGGAATAGACACACACAACACTTTTATTGATATTTTTATATATAAATATCGGCTTTTTTAGTCAATATATTTTGTAATAAAAATAGAAGCTCCGATAATTATTTTGGTACTCTTACTTAAATTTTACTTCCGCTTGCGTTTATTGATTTGTTTAAGAATTGGCCGGAGGTAACCTCAGCTACTGATCATCACGATACTTAACCCTTAGGTACGGGGAGCGGGTCGTGACAAGATCTGGCCCAGCCCATCATAGCTCCAGCTTGAGCTGGGCTTAGGCTTTGGTCATGGATTGGTGGGTCAAATTTACACCCTTACAAAAAGTATACAAATAAATAAATAAATAAATTTGATTTCTCTTATGGTTAGAAGAAAATACAAATCTTACAGTTTCAATATAATTATACTGATATCTTTTTTAATAAGATTAAAAAATCAAAACTAATATAAATAGTATATAGATACAAAGATAACAAAATATAATTTACATAAAACTAATACAAATGGTACGAAGATATAAAAATATACAAAATAAAATTTACAATTCTATGTAAAAAATATATTAATATTATTTTTTTCATTCGTATGACTATCAAATTTATGATGAAAATGGGTCCAAATGTTATATGAATTAAAACTTGAAAGGAGTCCAGTGAAATTATGTCAAGTTTGTAGGATTTATTGTATTTTCTCCAAACTTTAAGAAATGTTAGTGTAATTTACCTAAAAAGAGATGCTACATACCCACAATTTTAAACCTATAAATTCACTCACAATAATATGACAAATTAAAAGTTGTCACTTATAATTGTGAGTCAAATTAAAAGAATTAAAAATAAAAAAATCAAGCATTTTCCAGAAAAAAAGTTAGGTCTTGTTTGGCACCGTTACACACTTTTTTATCTTTTTTATTTTGTTAAGTCATATCACCTTTTTGTTCTTTTACACATATTTTTTTAAAAAGTCAAAAAATATTCTTAGATCATTCCAAATAACCTTTTAATAAAGAATAAAAATGTATTACTAGACATAACAAATCTTCTTGATTTGAAATAGCAATGCACACCTAAGAGCATCTCCAATGGAGCTGCTATTTCACTTGCCAAAGTTAAAAAATGACAGGAATGGCAAAAACAGGTCTCCAATGGTTTGTTATTTCACTTGTCAAAGATGGCAGAGGCCATATGTGTTCTCAAATATGGCAAGTGAAATAGCAGCTCCCAAGCTTTCCAAATCAACAAAAATGAACAGCAATTTGGCACCAAATTTAGTTGAAAACAACATAATTTAAACAGTAAGGAACCCATTTTTCAAAATCAAACCCAATTTTGAGATGAAAACAAATTTCAGAATGAAATTGAGACAAACCCAACTTCAGTTTCTCAATTTTTATTTTTTTAATTCATTTATCACCAAATCTGAGTCAATCCAAATTAGATGTTTGCAGATCCGGTATGAAGACAGATATCAAAAATTGAAGACAGATATCAAACGAAATCAGATAGTATGAAAACAGATATGAACAAAAATCACGATGGTATGAAGACAGATATGATATGAAAATCAGATGAACAAAAATCGATCACAAAAAATAATTAAGAAAATTTGAAAAAAAAAAACCAGATTTGAGTTGTTTGCAGATTCGGTTTGATTCCATTATGAGCTTTGAGTTTCAAAAATCACGATCACCGATCCACATCAACAACCAGAAGGGGGGTTTCGATCCACATCACATAGTGAGACTGAGAAGGAGATCGAGCGAGAGAGTTAGAGGGGGGTTTCGATCATGGAGGAGAAATGAGGAGTGATTTCAGAAGAGAGAGACAGAGTGAGAAAGTGAGAGGGAGACAGACTGAGAGAGTGAGAGAGGTTTTGATCATGGAGGACAGAAGGGAGAGACCGATCCACATCAACAATTAGAAGGGGGTTTCGATCCACATCACAGAGTGAGAGACTGAGAAGGAGACCAAGTGAGAGAGTCAGAGAGGGGTTTCGATCATGGAGGAAAAGGGAGAGTGGTTTCAGAAGAGGGGGACAGAGTGAGAGAGTGAAAGGGAGACAGACTGAGAGTCTGAGAGAGGTTTCGATCATGGAGGAGAGAAGGGAGATGGGTTTAAGGAGAGGAAGACAGAGTGAGAGGGAGAGGATGAGGGTGGCTCATTCTAGATGTATGGAGGCAGGCAGTGATGCCTCAGTGTAATAAAGAGCCGTTAGGCTCTATTTGGTTTGTTTGACAAAAAAAAAAAAAAATTATTATTTTTTACAACAGTTCTTTCAAATGGCTATTTCCCAAACGGTAATAAATTTAATTTCTATATATTGAAACCCTCCATGTTACTTTTATTTCACACAAACATTTACATTTAATTTTTCTTCTCTCCTATCTTCTTTGAATATGATTTCACAGCAAACCTCTTAAATTGTTTTCTTTTTAGTTTTTTCATCCAATCACTATGGAAGGTTCATCAAAAACAAAGAGAGGAAAATCATTCACCATTGAAGAAGATATGGCAATTTGTAAATTTTGGTGTTACATTTCGAAAGACCCAATCGTTGGCAATTTGCAATCGTATGCTCACTTTTGGGGGAGAATTTATGGAAATTATTACTTGCTTCAGAATGATCAGTCCAAAACACAAGTGTCTATTCAATCTCGATAGGATATAATCATGAAATGTTCTAACAAATTTCGGGAGTGTCTAACTCAAGTTGAAAATCTTCACCCAAGTGGAATTTCTCAAGTTGATATAATAAGTTTTTATCTTCAGTTATTATGTTTAGTTTCTTATTCTGGTATCATATAAAAATTACGTAATTAAATAATGTTTTAATTTTTTTTAAATAGATACTTCAAGAAAAACTGTTATACCATCAAGATGAAAACAAACATTTCGCTTTTGAACATTGTTGGTCAATATTGCAAGACAATATCATGTGACAAGATGTAGCTCCCATAAATACGGTAAAGTCAAGGATGCATACAGTGTTTACCCCTAATTCAGCCCCTGATTCCCTTATAGAAAATTGCATTTCTCTTGAAGACGACAGCAGTTCAAGTGTTGGTAACAATCCAACTATTGGTGAGGGCAGTGTCTCTGCAAGGGGTAAAAGGCCGATGGGTAGGAAATCTGCAAAAGAATTATTTCGAAGAAATCAAGTCATTAAAATTGAAGTCCAAAAAACGAGTACACAATTAGACACATTTAACCAAAGTCATTGAAATTGAAGTCCAAAAAATGAGTACACAATTAGACACATTTAACCAACACCTTGTTGAGAAAGAAAAGAAAAAAAGAGGAAAGATAAGAAAAAATGATTCAAGCACTACAGGAGATGAAAGAACTTGAGATGAAAAAACATGAGTTTGAGATGAAAAATGAAGAACACCAAATAATGACTACGGACATTTCTCATTTGGACCCTCAGATGAAAGCGTTTTACACAATGCGAAAAAATGAGATTTTCGCCAAGTGGTCCTCAAATGTGAGCAGCCCAGATTTTTATTTCCCCTACCTCCTGATGAATAATTATGGGATAATATATTTTTGAAATTTGCAATATCATTTATTTTTTAATGTAATTGTTAGTCTTTATTTGCAATGTAATTTTTATTTTCTAATGAAAGTTCATGTTTTTTTTTTATTTTTTATTTTTGAGTATTTTGTACTTCACAATGTAATATTATAATAAAAGAATAAAATAAAAAGACATTAAATGAAGAACATTTTATTAGAATAAAAAGACATTAACTGACATTAAATGACATTAACTGTCATTAAAAAAATAAAATGCAAACTTAATCTAACTCTCCAGCTCGAAACCACAAGTGTTCAATTAGATTATTACGAATTGCATTATGGGCTTCAATAGATCTAATCCTTTGCCGATTCAACATAAATTTAGCATACTCCTTATTTGGATCGCGTGACACTTGACAGCCCAAATTACTGGTATTAGTCTCAAGTTGTGCTGTACTACGTTCATTTTCTAGAATATCACGCTCATCTTCAATGATCATGTATTGCAAAATAATGCACGTCTTCATGATGTAGTACAGATTCTCGTCACTCAAATCGCTAGCTGGCACGCTGACAATATTAAATCGTGCTTGGAGCACTCCAAATGCCCTTTCGATATCTTTCCGACATGCCTCCTACATCATCACAAATAGTTGTCTCTTTGCGCCTTGAGGTTGAGATATTGTTTTCACAATCGTTGCCTAACGAGGATAGATATCATCAGCAAGATAATACCCCATGGTGTACGCGTGATTATTGATGGTGTAGTTGGCAGCAGGGGCACGTCCTCTAGTTAATTCAGCAAATAAAGGCGACCTGTCAAGGACAATAATATCATTTAGAGAGCCAGGCATGCCAAAGAAAGCATGCCAAATCCACAAGTCATAGGAGGCAACTGCCTCGAGTACAACTGTTGGTTTGTGATAGTGTCAAGTGTAAGCACCGACTTAGGCACTTGGAAATTTATCCCAACGCCAGTGCATACAATCCAAACTCTCTAACATTCCAGTAAACCCGCATTGCTCTCCCTTTTGCAATAATCTAGCGACATCTGCTTCATTTGGAGATCTTAAGTAAATGGCTTTATAGGTAGCAACAATTGATCTGGTAAAAAAATTTAAGGCGACAATTGCAGTACTTTCGCCGATTCTAATGTACTCGTCTATAGCATCAGCAGACACGCCGTACTGAAGGATCCGAAGTGCTACAATTATCTTCTGTGCACCGGATAATCCAGGAGCTCCAGTGGCATTACGGGTTTGGATGAAGTACTCATTCACTTGTTGAATATCATGTAAGATACTGACAAACAATGACCGCTTCATTCGAAAACTTCTTCGGAAGTATTCTTCTGGATAGACAGGATTATCTGCAAAATAATCTCTATAAATTTGTTCATCGCCTTTGACCCTCTCACGATTAATATATCGACGACCACTTATGGAACCAACACGTTTGGTTTCTTGGTTTAGGCTAAACGTCTGTAATTTTTGTTGTTGCGCTGTGAATAGTTGCATCATGATGATATCATCATCAGATGATGAAGATTAATCAAAATCTCCATTTAATATGGCTTTACTGAAATTGTTCATTGTAGGTGGATGTGTGAGTGGGTGAATATGAAAATTGTAGAAAATCTTCTTCGTGGGTATAGAGAGTTTTAAAGATATGAAAATGATGGGTAAGTGAATATGAAAATTATAGAAAATCTTATGTTATATTTATAGAGAAAATTGTGGGTGGGTGAATGATGGATGGTTGTTGGGTGGGTGGATGAATAATTGATGGTTGTTGGGTGGGTGGGTGGATGAATAATGAGTGGTTGTTGAGTGGGTGGATGAATAATGGATGGTTGTTGTGTGGATAGTTGTGAGTGAATAAATGCTGTGTTAATAATGGATGGTTGTTGGTGATTGATTGTTGGTGGATAATTGGTGATTGTTTATTTTTTTGTGTAGTTAAATTTTTTTATCAATTATGTAGTGATATGTTTTTTGATGGGGTGAATTAATCAAACAAATTTTTTTTCCCAATTTTTCATTTTTTTTTAATTTTTTATATTTGTTTAGTTGGTAATAATATAAATATATAATTTTTTTAATAAACAGGTAAAAAAATGTCACAAAAGACAAAAAATAAAATCACAAAAAACCTATATCCAAACAATACCTACAAATTTAAAGAGAAAGTTTGTTGAGATTTACCAAAATAACAAATGACTATTAGAGCACTATTATTATAATTTGACGAAATAATACTATTTATTATCAAATTATAACAATGACAATAATATTATAATAATAATGATTGAAAATGCTCCGAGAATCATGAGATGCTTCTAGTAGTCAAATCATCTTCAATGCGTGGGTTTGAATTGAAGGGAATGCCACAATAATGTCGCCTTTACAATTCCATCACACGTTTTTTTGAATCCATGAAAGAAAATTTGTCAAAATTCAAAAGAGTTCTAGATTCCCACTAAAAGTTCATAACAAGATTGGACCACAGTTCCTCAACAAGTCCAATGTTATAATGAAGCTGTATATGTGATTGGAAGCTTCATCAACAAGTCCAATGTTATTAAGGTCATGCCAGGAAGCTGAAGAAATAGTTTTATAACCAACAACTCCTTTTGGATTCAATAGATGTATATTACATAGAGGTCTATTCCTTTGTGAGTTTCTTTCCGTCTGAAATCAAGTATGACCCACCCTCTGAGACTAACGCCTAATTTCGCATTTCTAAAAAAATTTAAAAAGTAAAGAAATTATTAAAAGAATTAAAAAATTATCATTATTTATAAATTAAAAATACAAAAAAATTAATTTATTATATATTTTAATACAAAGACATGACTGATATGAGAATTGATGGAAAGGCTGTCAAAGGAAAAAAAAAATTAAGTATATATATTTATTAAATTGGAGGATAATGTTGGGCTGATGAGGCTCACCATGGGTCCAGTTTTAATAATCCGAACCGTGTAATGTGTAGAACTTGTCAAGTACTACATGCCTTTAAAAAAATTACGTTAATTGAATATGGATAGCTACATGATTAAATCAGTTTTGTATAAACAATAGATGGTGTTATAGTATAACGGTTGACAAAGAAACTAACACGCTCAGATAGCTATCGATAACCGATTGACGTGATTTTTTACAAACATATAGTACTCGACGAGTTCTATATATTGAACAGTTCCGATTAGCAAAACGAGACCCGTGGTGGGCCCACACGGGCCAAACAACACCATCCAATTTAAGATCGAAAAGGAGGCAACCATTTTCCATCTCTTAACAGCCGACTACACTGCCTAGGTACTGTACGGGCTACTCAATCACTTCTCCTATACACTTATTTAAATAATTTTTTAATACACATTTTTTCATAAAAAAATAAAAAATTAACCCAAATATCCATCTCTTTTTCCTCAACTTTTTAGTCTAAAAAAATAAAAAATACACTTATTTAAAACACTCCAAACAACTTCTAAATTACGAGTCTTTAAATACCTATAGCTCTTCTGATAAAAAAAAAAAAAAAAACCTCTAGGCCTTGTCATTTTTTTAATGTATTAATAAATCCTAAAATATTTTTTTTGTCATCAATACTTTTTGGAAATATTGGTAGGTGGAAAAAGACTATGACTTGTAGAAAAATAAATTTCATCAATAAAACCGGCTTGTAAATTCTTTTAAAATTTTAGACACAGTATATATAAAAGTAAAATGTTTAGTAGCTTGAATTTTTGTACCTTGAATGACTCGAATATGTTAAAATGATATTATTTTAAGTGTTTCAAGTCATTAAAATCATATTTTTTTTAGGCCACCTACCATCGTTGTATGCAAAAAAAACCACAATAATGTAGTCTTTTGGCAATTCAAATAAAAGCTGCGTTTTTGCAGCAAAAAACGTAGCAGGTAGCTACAAAAGCTATAACACTATTTGGGAAGTTTGCAAAATGCAAAGTGTGAAATTACATGACTGCGCTCCTGTTCTGACAAGCAGCTAAACGAGGCACATGGGTCAAAAAGTAAATTTTTTAAGTTGGATGAGATATTTTGATAATTTTATTATGATGTGACATCATAAATAAATATTAACTTAAAAAGTAAAAAAAAATAACTTTTATCAATTTTTCAAAAAAGTTAAAAAGCTTAGTTAAAAATTAAAAATCAACTTTTAACTATCTTTCCAAAACACTCCAATGCGTAGTAAAATCATTTAAAAATACAAATTTTGTGGTATTAATAAATGAAAAATTGCAACATGCACTACCCCTGCCTCCTACCTACCTAACAAGGGTGGTAAACATTGGCCCGCGAAAAGTGTTGGGCCGAAATTAGTTGCCCAGGTGAGAAGTTCAAAACAATGCAAACAAATAATTGCCAAACCCCAAGTATAAAAAGGCCCATAATAATAGTCTTTCATTCATCAAAACTCAATCTGAAGCCCTATTATGGTGTAAAAGTAAAGCAAAGCAGCAGAGCAAAATTACTAGTTCCACGCACACGCAATGATCTCTGCCAGCAGGGCCTTGAGCTTCAAATGCTCACCATACCCTACCTTGTGCAGCAAAACCCACATGGAATCGCCGCCCAGAACAACCCTCCGTTGCTGTACATTATCGAGGTCTTCTTCTCTCTCTCCTTCCTCCAGTGAAGTTGAGAGAGAGAGCGCTGGTAGTAGTGGTGGTGATCAAGTCGTAAGCCTCCAAGAATGGCAGGCTTGGGGCACCGCCTCTCCAGTACCCGCCATGGTCGCGGAGATTGTTGAGGACATGAAGTCTTTGGAGCGAGACATCGATGCCCAGATGAGCTTCGGTGGTCTTGGTGGCAAACTCCAGGTGAAACATTCAGCCCCCATTTAACCCTTTCTTGTTTTGTTTTGTTTTGCACTTTCTATGCATTTTTGTGTATATTTAAACATGTATAAATTTTTGCTGGTGAGTCTCTGTTCTGTGTTTCTTGACTCTTGGGATTTTCTGCAATTTTCTCTCTGTTCCTGAGAATTTCCAGAGGCGTGAAAACTAAATTAGATTTTACTGATTTGGATGGACTGTCTCCAATTAGACTATATGCTAGACAGATGAAATAGAAAAAATAATAATAATAAATAAAAATGATGAAAATAATCTTGGGGATAAAAGTGAATTTAACCCTTTTAAAAAAGGGACGGCATTAGGTTTGTGCTAAATCGTGGGATGGAGAGATGAATGCAGTCTTACCCTCATCTTTTTCGTGACTCAATTGCGATGGGCCGAACCGCTTTTACAAAAGAAATTAGACTCTTTTTTTTTTTTTTAGGGTTAAAAGGAAACAGGAGAAACAACTGCTGCCCCCCTCCAGTCCCCCTTCCTCCCTGACCAAATAGAGAGTGGTAATTCACTCTTTTTGCTTGGCCCAAATGTTTGTGCCAACTCAACTGCAAATTTCACTCAGGAATTCAATGTGGGTAGTGGGTATAGTGGTGGTATTGGAGATGTCTCAGGAAGAATATGCAGGCTTCAAAATTGTACATTTGTCTTTTATAACTCAGACGTGGGATGGAAAGATGAATGCAGTCTTACCCTCATCTTTTTCGTGACTCAATTGTGATGGGCCGAACCGCTTTTACGAAAGAAATTAGACTCTTTTTTTTTTAGGGTTAAAAGGAAACAGGAGAAACAACTGCCCCCCTCCAGTCCCCCTTCCTCCCTGACCAAATAGAGAGTGGTAATTCACTCTTTTTGCTTGGCCCAAATGTTTGTGCCAACTCAACTGCAAATTTCACTCAGGAATTCAATGTGGGTAGTGGGTATAGTGGTGGTATTGGAGATGTCTCAGGAAGAATATGCAGGCTTCAAAATTGTACATTTGTCTTTTATAACTCAGAAGGGTCTGCCAATGTGGCACGTGTACTCAGGAATCCTTCAATGGCCTCACATCCAAACCTGCTGAAAGGGGTTAAATTAATTGCTAATGTGAAATAAGTTCATATACTTATGAGGATGTATAAAGTAAATATCAACTTATCCCTTTTCTCTTTACGTTTGCTCTCCATGTATTATAGTGTTGAAAGTTTTACGGCGTCTTCCATAGGTTTTCAATTAATACAGTTTGTTTCATATTTTTGGTTTTGTGTATTACCTATGGTCATTGTGTTATTTAATCAACTCAAGTTCAAATGGGCATGGCTTTCTTGGATGCAAAATCATTATATATGCTAATCTTCAGGGAGACTTCAAGGTCTACGAGGATAAAAAACATAGAGCAAAATATCAGGCTTTAGGTGATTCTGAAAAGAAGCTCCAATTCTTTTCAGCTCGACAAATAGCATGTCGCTTGCTAGGTAGTAGGGGTTACCTTTGCCAGAAGGTATGTCGTTTCCTTATCAAACAAAAATGTTTCATTGGGTAATATGATGTCTTCTTCAGTACTCCTAAAACTTTACATGAAATCAAAGTAAACTTTATGTATTGCAGAAAAGTTATTTACTTTTAAATGTTTACAAATTTCTAGTGCTGGCTTCCTCTAGAGGATTGCATGTGCTCTAAACTCATACCCTGCTCTCTCTGGCATGGCATTCGGTTCTGGTTGTATATGCACCCAAAGGTTTGAATTATTTAATCATTTCTTGTACATTTAGTTTTAGCTTTTGTCAAGGGTCATCGACAACAGTCTCTTTTGGCAGGATTTTCTACGACAGAACAACACAGGGAAGTTGTTATGGCAAGTGTTTGGTGTTCAAGCTGCAACTTTGTGCCTCTATGGCATTTCTGAGCATGAGCAAATAATGTGGAATGCATTTAAGCTTGCAGGTTTTGACTGATCTATTAAACGTGACTTAAACTACATAAATCAATCCACAAAAAACAGTCCATTCTGATAGCCCACTTTATGGCCCAAAATACAAAATTATAGAACTGCCTGACTTAAAAATTTAAGAAAAACATAAAACAGTATTAAAAAATCAATAATTATTTTCCTAGGCTAGTTCTAAGTTAGAATCTTACCAAATACCTATATTAGATCTTGAGTCTGGCTTCCTGGTTATTTATAATACTTCCTATACTTACCCTGCTTAATATTTGCATCAGTAATACATACTACAGTTGTAGTATTGTGGAATTCACTTTTGCTAATTTAACTGCAATCATCAGGTGTCATTTATTACATGAATGTGTGTCAAATATATTTGTTGGCCATGATTCTTGGACTAAGTTGATTTTTTAGGCTGTTAATCATACATTTAGACACCTAGACATGATGCCAATACTTGTAACTCGTATTTTCTTAGTATCCTTTCCTTCAAAATGACAGAATTCTGATTGCATTCTACATTGATTTCAGGGAAAGACAAGGTTTGGTGCCTTTATCCCAACAAGAATGCACCAACAAAGTCGGTTCATGATACCTTTAGTCAAGATTCTTCACCAGGTCAAGAATGCAAACTGAACATGGTATTATTTTCTTTTTCTTTTTTAATTTAAAAAATCATGAATCATGCTGATTGTCTTTTCATACATTTGCAAATATATTTTATGATACTACAGTTGTAGTATTGTGGAATTCACTTTTGCTAATTTAACTGCAATCATCAGGTGTCATTTATTACATGAATGTGTGTCAAATATATTTGTTGGCCATGATTCTTGGACTAAGTTGATTTTTTAGGCTGTTAATCCTACATTTAGACACCTAGACATGATGCCAATACTTGTAACTCGTATTTTCTTAGTATCCTTTCCTTCAAAATGACAGAATTCTGATTGCATTCTACATTGATTTCAGGGAAAGACAAGGTTTGGTGCCTTTATCCCAACAAGAATGCACCAACAAAGTCAGTTCATGATACCTTTAGTCGAGATTCTTCACCAGGTCTAGAATGCAAACTGAACATGGTATTATTTTCTTTTTCTTTTTTAATTTAAAAAATCATGAATCATGCTGATTGTCTTTTCATACATTTGCAAATATATTTTATGGGAAAAAGTTCCTCATATACTATGTACATGAGTGCCTTATCCCTTGTGACCTTTTGTGACAAAATTTTGAAAATGTTGCTGGGTTGTAGCTTTATTAAAGAAAAATAAGCCCAAAAAAATTCTTTCAAACTTGTCCTATCACATAGATTATGTGAAATGAAGGTCTTTGATTTTCATTTTAATTCCAAGAAAGCCCTATTATGACCATTGGGAGTTGCCTATGTGAATTCTACTATGCAGTTCGCTCTATCTCTGACCATTTTTTGAATCAAGCCTTGGCCATCATGCCATATTTTATCCTTGGTCCATTGTGAGAACTGACAAGATAATTGACAGAAAATTTCAATTCATTTTGTAGGATCTTTTCTTTTCCTTTTTTTTTTTTTTTTTCCTTCTTTCTTTTTGTTGTGTGTCGTTAATGTAGCTTTGCTCTACTTAATGTGCAATTTCTTACTTCTTATTTCAGTTCAACAAGGTGGTAATTTTCATGTTGATTCTGCACAGACAAATGGAGATAAAACTCTGCACTTTGTTTTGCTTGATGGTACATGGAACAACTCTGCTGCCATGTTCAGACGTTTGAAGGTCATACTGAAAACACTTAGTTTTTCCTACTTTTCCTAATAATGGTGTATTTATGTGTTTGGCAAAACTATATGCTTCTGTTTTCTCTGTGATCTTGACATTTGTCATGCCATATATTCCTGGACCAGTGATCTTTCTTCCTGAGACTTTCCCTTGAACCTCTAATGTATAACTGTGACAGTATACCCTTTCCTGAAATTTGTGAATATTTTGGTTATAAAAATCTATTGAACTCAATCAAGTCATTAAACACAGAAAACCTTGAGTTCAGGAACTACGCGATTTTCTACAAATCTTAATTTTTTTTCTTTTCCTTTATTTTCTTATCTTTTATGTTTTGTTTTTTCAACATACATTTAACATCATTTTAACTTGAACTTTGGTTCACATCTTACTGGTATAGCCTTGCAATTTACTTTGCACATATTTGAGTTGTTATGTTGTTTGGAGGCGGCCTGACATTTAGCACTGGGCCTGTCACAGAGATAGGTCCAGGAAGGATTTTTTTTTCTATTGATTTTTTAGTCTCTTCTGGCCTATCTTCAAGTAAGGCATCCTTCTGTTTCCCCCTGCAGACCCAGATTTATTATTATGAATAAAAAAGAGGAATAAATTATAGAGTGAAGTGTTCCTCATAATTCACAACTCAAAGTCATGAATAAATTCATTTTATCAACATAATAATGACAACTCAGGGTTGTGTTTAATAATCAGACAGAAAGGTGGCTTTTAGTAAATAATCCCTTTTTTAAAGCCATATCCTTATCATAACAAGTGTTTAGCTGCAGTGGTTTAATTATTGTTTCATTTTATAATAAATTATGTTATGATATTTTTTCTTCATAATATAAATTCATTTGATCAACATGATAATGAAAATAAGGGAAAACAGGACAGCTAATTGGCTCTGCAGGATTTGTGGAATTCCAGTGATTAAGACATTCATTCCAATCTCAAAAATTGTTTGGTGCTCATGGAAAGGATTGTTGGTTTTTGAGGTTTTGCCAATCACCGATACAGTTGCTTTTACTAATTTTGACAAGGCCACGTTTCGCTCTTTTTTTTTTTTTTTTTTTGGAATTTCGAGGTGGTATGTGGAAAATATTCTGATGTGAATTGTTTTATTATTAGGATCAAGCAAATGAAATCTGGGGAGAGGACCTTCCTTGCATATCTCTTGCCACTGGTGCATCTGCAATGCATAAACTGCGGTGAGATATAGACACGACTATTTAGTCTCTTTTATTGGCGCTTATAGCTGCACATCCATTTGTTCGTTGAATTTTCCTTTTATTTCTTATTGTTTTTTCTTGGTTTTCGCTAGAAATCCTTCCCGTCTTGTTGAAATTCGTTGTAATTACTAACTTGTGACCACTTGCTGTGTTTGGAATCCAGACCCCAACCATCATGGGACCGAACATGTACAGCAGCAGCAGCAGTTGGCCTCCTCAGTGAGCTGCAACTTCTTCTGGAGTTGAGCTCATTTGGGTTTGATAAACAGGCTGAAGCAGTAGAGGATGCTTTAGTGGTCTTGTTAGATGCACTTACTGCGAGACGGCTTCGCATGGGCAGGTCGATCAGTCGCAGAGAACGACACAAGAGCCACATATGTTAACAGCTGACTAGAAAATATGGCACCGACAATTGTTGAAGGAAGTTTTTCTGGTTTCTCCGACGGTTGAGGCTCTATCGATTATAAAAATTACCCTAAATTACACTTGTTTGTCTCCTTTTTTGTTCACTGATTTGCAACTGTTGAGGTACCTTGGTTAAATCCAGTGCCTAAACATTAGTTATTAATTTGAGAAATTATTTTTTAGTTTGAAAAATTATTTTTGGATTAGTGAGAAATGCTAGAGATTCCTTAAAAAACATGGCATCTAACTTTATCCACAATGATATGGTTTGAGGTTGGTTCTTAGATGGATGATTTTTAACTCAATTAATAACTAACCTGGAATAGTTCATAATATGAGTAAATTTAAAAGAAATTTTTTGAAAATCTCAAGTTTTTCTTTTTAAGTATTTGCAGTGTGAATCAATACCATCTATTGTTTCAGCTCAAAAAATAAAAAATAAAAAACTATTTAGCTTCGCGGACCCTAAACTTTAAAGGGAGAATAACAATGGAAAATTTGGTTATAAATCTTTTTTATCTTTCTTTTATTGTTAGAAGGACTAAGAAAAAAATTATATTTTCTAAATCTCCTCATAATTACAAAATTTTGCATAAAAGGCAAAATTTATTATTTAAATATTTTATTAGACTATTATACCCTCACATATACACAATCCAGATACAAAATTTATCTTCTCTCTCGGCTCTCACTTCTAATCCTAGCTTCCTCCATGGCCGGAGCTGTGTCATTCCTAAGTTCCTACGATCTCTCTCTGCATCTTCTCAACTCTCCTTCAACTGTTCATCTTCTATCTCGTCTCTCTCTTCTAATCCTAGCTTCCTCCATGGCCGGAGCTGTGGAGAACTTACAAATTGCGCTGATATATATATATATATATATATATATGTGTGTGTGTGTGTGTGTGTGTGTGTGTGTGTTTGTGAGATCTTGAAGAACTCGAGTTGCATGTCATGGATGCCATTACAGCGACTCAAGCTGTTGGTGTGGTTTCCGGAGTCGATGAAGAGAACTAAATACCTTGCATAGTCGTAAGTCTCTCTCTTGGTAGGTAGCATCTTCTCTTTCTTGATAGAAACACATAACACACATAGAAAGAAAGAAAGATGATGTTGAGGTTACAAACATGGATGATTTTGTAGAAGATTTTTTTTTTTTTAATCTGGCTGTTAATCTAATTTTTTTTATTTGTTGTTGTTGATTGGAACATATAAATGTTGTTGGAAAGAGAAACAAAGAGAGGAAACTCAGATTATGATTTGTATAATTTCAACAGATAAATGTTGATGTAGAGTAAAATTTGATTCTAGTTCATTCATTTAGTATGTATTTTATTTTTTGTGACAGTAAAATTTTACTCTGGTTGAAAACATGTTGATTTGCTTAACAATATAAAATTTTACTTTGAATCATAGTAAACTTTACTCTGATTCAGAGTAAAATTGTATTTTTAAGTAAAATTTTACTTTCATACAGAGTAAAATTTTACTCTGAAATACATAGTGAAAATGTCTTAATAGGAGAGCTGATAGATATGAGGGTAATATAGTAAAAGAAACAAGTTTTAAAATATCAGGGGGTTTTGAAAGTACTTATATAATTCTTATCCTTTTGAAAGAAAAATTAGATAGTGAGGGGGCTATGACCAAATCTCCCATTTAATTATATATTAATAAAAATATTAATAATTTTAATTATTAGTATTTGTAATTATTTTTTACTGACTCCACGGGCAGATAGTTTTCCACTTTAAACCAAAGTTACTTGGACAGACCAACACCCTCATTTTTAGTTCAATTTTGGGGTCAATTTGTAAAAAACTTCCCCTAAAAATGTTTAGAAGTACGAAGGATTGGCAAACCTTAGCGGGATTTAGTAACTCAATTTATTTTACTTGAATTAATGTGATTATAACTAACTATGCTTATTTAAAATTTGAATAAATATGGATTGAATTTTATTAACAAGTGTCAAAAAAAAAGAAAAAAAAAGAAAGGGAGATTACTAAAAAAATCTTTTTTCAAGTATGTGTATCTCAATTAGTCCATAAAATATTATTGTATTCCAATAAGTCTCATTATTTAGACATTTGATCTATCAAATCCTAATGCTCATATTTAAAGCTTTTTATGGACATTTTTACCCTTATAAATATTTTTTGAACGGTTAGCAATTTAGTGATATGAACATTCATATTTTACAATGTGAATGTTCACATTGACGGTGTCAATATTCACATTGATGGTGTGAACATTCACATTGAAAGTGTGGACATTCACATCACAAAACATTCACACTGTAAATGTGAATATTATTATTAGGGGTATTTTGGTAACTGTGGGGATATATTTTCTGAGTACCAACACGTGGCAAGGTGACGCCGACGTGTCAGCCGAGGTGCTACGTGTCCTGGTTGAGACGCCGAGATTATCTCGGCAAGGCCGAGGTTTTCTCCGAAGATATCGGAATCCGAGATAAGCGGATAAGGGACCAGAGTTCTAGAATGAAGAGGAGACTTAGTCAAGATGAGGATAAATCTCTTAGGGAGTTTATCTTTATCTCTTGTAGAGTCCAAAGTAAATACTGAGTTGGAATCCATAGAAGTCAGGCTTCTAATGGGACTAGGATTAAGTGAACTATAAAAGAGAGGCACCCCCGTGGGTCTAAGGTACGCAGTTTTATACTTTGAGTAGTGAGTTTAGCACTTGATTATCTTTGAGAGATATACTGATTTGATCGTCGGAGTGCCCCCGGGTGGAAGAGCCACCGCCGGAGTCTTTTCTTTCTGTTGCAAGTTAGCTGAAACCATCTATTCTGCCGGTGCTCTCCAGCTGATTACTAGGCGGGCAGTGTGGTCAGAAAATCACCCACACAATTTGGCACCGTCTGTGGGAAACTTAAAAGAATAGATTGCCAGTAACGGACAGAAGGAAAACAATGGGGGCGACACTCCTGCTGGGAGTGGCAGACCAATTGACCTTGACGTTGAAGGAGACAACCACAATACAGAAACTCATGACTAGGGCCACGGAGAGAAAGACGTCGGCTAGGAGGGCGACACTTCGAAGAGGACAGACCAATGCAAGTACTATAACGAAGACAACCTTCAGGTATGGAGGGACAGGTGCCTACGGAGGGATGAGGAAGTTAGAGAATTGGCAAACAAGTTGGCAAACCTACAATTGGTCGTCAACTTCATGATGCAAAACAATGTTATGCAGCCACCGTACCCGCTGCAGGATACGCCGATGCCAGCAACTAATACCCAAAAGGGAGGATGAAGAACAATCCCCGAAGCCCCTCAATACACTAGGAGCGGAAGGCACTCTCACTGAACTTCCAGGGAAGTCGGACGAGAGGAGCCGAGACGAAAGGAGTCCCGAAGGACGTATCACACGAATGACCCAGAGCCCAAGGAACATCGGCATGTTCAAAGGCATGCGCTCTGCTTTGACACAACCCATGTAGAAAGATCAAAACGGGCTCACCACGAGGCCGAAAGTAGTGTACTGAAAAGATTAAAGTCCAAAGATAGCCGACCTCCAAGGAGAAGTAAAGAAGACTTGAGAGATTACCTCAATAGGAAGCAACAGAATGCTGAAGCCGAAGTAACTTCCCCGGTTAAGCCGAGGACACCATTCTCGGTGAAACTCGACAAATTTGAAGCACCAAAGAGATTCAGTATGCCAAGGTTCCAAATATATGATGGAAAGTCAGATCCCAACTTTCATGTTGGACTATACCTGAATTCAATGGCATTATACAGTGGGAACGAGCCGTTGCTCTGCAAAGTATTTCCCTCGTCCTTCGGGGAAATTGCATCAAATTGGTTCCATAAACTACCGAAGGGAAGCGTAAAGACTTGGAAAGGCCTGGCCGAGATGTTTGTGGCTAGGTTTGTGACAAATAAACTACAGCCCTTGAGGGTCGACGCACTGATGGCTTTAAAAATCGCCAAGGATGAAGGCCTTAGGGCCTACGCAAAAAGGTACTACGAGGTTTTCAATCGAATACCTGATTGCAACCAAGAGGTGGCGGTCGTATCCTTCAAGAACGGCCTAAAAGATGACTGCCCACTACGGAAATCCTTGGCAAAGACATTACCAAAAAGCATGGAGGAACTCATGGCGAGAATCGAGAAGTACGCCAGAGTCGAGGAGGATGCGTCGGGAAATAAAGAAATAAAGCAGGAGAGAGGAAATGGCTCGCCGAAGTGAAGCCGAGGTAACAACGGACTGACCAAACAAGAAACGGAATTAAAGGCTAAACAGGCAGTGACAACTATATTCCGAGTCCCGATCCACAAAGTCTTGGATCAAATATGAAACCAACCCTATTTTAGAGGACCGACAAGAACACCAGGGGAATTCATGGGAAGAAACGTCGGTAGGCGTTGCACTTACCACAATGAAGAAGGGCACCCAACTCAGGGCTGCAAAGCCCTAAAAGCACACTTAGAAGACTTGGTAAGGCAAGGACATCTGAGGGACCTTGTTGATGAGGCCAGGACTAGAGAAGAATAGACAAGATTGCTTCAAGCACCAGCAGCTCCGCCTCCCCCAGCACAGCAACCACCCGCAGGAGGACCACGGGTGGTTAACGTAATCCACTCAAAGGTGAACGAAAGCAACATACGAGGGGAGACCCAGAAGGTAAAACACCTACAGCACGTGAACCAGGTCGGACATAAAAGATCTCGGCTTGAAGAATGCTAGGGACCGACGATAGCCTTTACTGAAGCCGACCTAGAGGTGGCCCAGCATCCACATAATGATGCCTTGGTAGTATCCCTCCAGGTTGGGGAGTGCCAAGTGAAACGCATCCTGATTGATCAAGGCAGCTCTTGCGACATCATGTATGTTAGATGTTACAAAGAGCTGGGCCTTCATCCTGAGGACTTGGAGCAATCCAATGGCCCAATGGTCGGCTTCAATGGAACGCCGACGTGGCCGCTGGGCGCAACAAGCTTGAAAGTACAAGCTGGCACTAAGAAGATCAGGACAGACACACCTTCGCCATACGACATCATCTTGGGTAGGTCATGGTTGCATGCAATGGGGGCAGTTCCCTCAACATTGCATCAACAACTGCGGTTCCCAACAGAGCATGGGATTGAAGAAGTTAGAGGAGATCAACTGCAGGCAAAGAATTGCTCCATGGCAGAAATGAAATCCACCTGCAATATTCGAGAA